AAACCCGAAAAAAAAACTAAAAAAAAATTTTATATATATATATATATATATATATATATATATATATATATATATATATACATCACTTTTTATTCAAATAAATACAATTTACTGTTACAGATAAAGTAGAACAGATTATAAAGGATATTTAAGACTTTCAGCAACAGTATAAACATCTTCTGAAAACATTTCACTTGCATTAGGCAAACAAGCATTTGCTCTGTCGAGTCACTGAACATCGTAATAGACCAGCAGAAATGAGACAAACATATTTTTAAATCAAGTGAAGCGTTGTAGACGGCCGGTGGCAGGCAGAATCACACTAATAGCTCTGCTAATGTAATGAACCTCAGCTTGCTGTTTACTCAGATCCGTACGGATGGCAGTAGCTCACTGTTATTGACAGTAATAAGGGAATTAATATGATGGCATTTAGCTTACTATCTTAAATATTGATCTGGATTGCTCTATGTAAAGGTTTCCTAACCACACATTCACAGATAAACGCTGATTGCTCAGGAACACTGCAGAGAGATCAGTCAGACATCTAGGAGGTGTAATTTTTACAGCGATTTCTCATTTGCAACATGTCCCTGGATGTCTGGACGACATTTAGCAGATGTTCTTGCAGACATCTATTGGCTTGAATGTATATGTAATTGCTTTTCGGAATTTGATCACGTGCTTGTTCACAAATATGACATTTAAAATGCAATGTTTTCGCAGACATCTCATCAACATATGCATGCTTTCTAGGGAGTTTACAATATGAAATTATGACAATGAGATTACGATATTGAGACTGTTACTAGTGTCTAAACAAATAAAAATACAATATGCATCTGATTAAATTATGTATAACAGGCAATATGCATCTGATGAAAAATAAATAAATAAATGCAATATGCATCTGATGAAAATTTTATCAATTAATTCAAAAATGCAATATGCATCTGATGAAAATGTAATTAATTTAAAAATGAAATATGTATCTGATTCAATTACGTATAACAGGCAATATGCATCTGATGAAAAATTAATGAATGAATAAATTAATAAATTAATTAAATTTTTAAAATGCAATACGTATCTGATTCAATTATGTTTAACAGGAAATATGCATCTGAATGAATAAATAAATTAATTAATAAATAATTTAATTTAAAAAATGCAATATGCATCTGATTAAATTATGTATAACAGGAAATATGCATCTGAATGAATTAACAAATAAATGCAATATGCATTTGATTAAATTACGTGTAACAGGCAATATGCATCTGATTATAATGCCTGTTGCAATTCCAGTAGTGTACTAGCAGGAAAGGTAACTAATCTCTGTTAAATAAAATATAAAGAATAACATAGTTATCTTTCCCTATTAAAATACTGTGATTGCGGATCTGGAGGAGATTTTTGATTGACAGCTGTGTGGCTCTTCCCTGATGTCTCATCCCGCCTGTCATCCCGCCTCTCCACGCTCATAACTCACATTAATGAATGAGTGACTTTTTGACAACAGACAGCAGCCAATGAGAGGCCAGCGTGTGTCTGCCGATCCAGGACAGATGCATGATGGGTTATGAATGGATGGATCAACGCTCACTGTAAATGTGAACCAGGGGTGCTTTAAGTAAAATTTGGTTGTGAAAATAAGTCTTATTACAGAATTTTTTTAAAAAATATGATGAAATGAGAAATTATATTATGTGCATGATATAATTTTTTCTGAATTAATGCAAAAATGTATAAACATAATTATACATACATACATACATAAAAAAAAAAAATATATATATATATATATAATGAATTTAAATTAATTTTAATTTTAATTACATTTAATAAATGCTTTTTAAATGAATGCAAAATTGTATAAACAATTTTTAGATATATATTAAAATATAATTAAAACCTTTCTAAATGAATGCAAAAATGTTACAAATGTTTTAATTTATTATAATTATATATATAAATATTGCTATCAGCATACAAAAATATACTTAATTTAGTAATTAATTTTGGTCATATAGCAGATGTGCCATCTAGATGTGGTTTTGTAAATGTTATACTTCCTAAGAAATGTACAACTGAATGTTGAAAACCTCCCACTGATGTACATTTGTTAAATTAGAAACAATCATAAATCATGTGCACTTTTTTCTAAACGAATGAAAAAATGTATAAACAAATATAGTACTGGTTTGTTGTTGATAATGTAAGATAACTAGTTCCTCATGCCTCTAAACTGCTTAAACTTTAAATGAAGCATGATTTTTTGTTTACATTATTGACTCTCCTTTTCATTTCAGAAGAAACCCATGAGCGAGTGAGAGATGTGAAGGCAAACTCACAGCGAATACTCTGGAGGAATTCCCTTAAAGGCAGGCAGGTCTCGCACGTACTCGTTGTGGAACCATTTGACTTTGAAGTGCAAGTTCATGTACTCTGTGCTCTTGCATAGACGATGCTTGTCGTGTTCTGCAAATGAAGGGGGGAAAAAAAGAAAAATGAAAGAGTCATGAGTCAACAGCGAGTCATGCACAGAAACATATTGAGCGTTAGTGTTTGGAGACAATATACAAACATCACTAGCATGTCATAAACTACAAATAAAACTCAAATTATTACATACATTTTTGTCAATTGAAATTGAAGTAAAATACAAATATAAATATTAGATGAAAGACAAACTAAATGAAAATGAGAAATGTTGTCTTGGCAATTAACTGAAATAATTTTAAGTTAAAGCATTAAAATTACTAACCAGAAATAAACTAAAATCTAAATAAATTTAGTAAGTAAATAAATAAATACTCAAATAAAAATTCTAACTAATTCAAAATATTATTTTATATCATAAAAATGTTTACTATAATAGTAAGCCAAGTATATAATAGTATAGTATATACAAAAGGAATAAATTAAGGGAAATCTTTCTTAGTATTTTTTGTAATTTTCCATTGAAAATAAGAATCTAAAAGATTCTTAAATCAAGAAATTAATTCAAAAATGCAATATGCATCTGATGAAAATGTAATTAATTTAAAAATGAAATATGTATCTGATTCAATTACGTATAACAGGCAATATGCATCTGATGAAAAATTAATGAATGAATAAATTAATAAATTAATTAAATTTTTTAAATGCAATACGTATCTGATTCAATTATGTATAACAGGAAATATGCATCTGAATGATTGAACAAATAAATGCAATATGCATTTGATTAAATTACGTGTAACAGGCAATATGCATCTGATTATAATGCCTGTTGCAATTCCAGTAGTGTACTAGCAGGAAAGGTAACTAATCTCTGTTAAATAAAATATAAAGAATAACATAGTAATCACAGTATTTTAATAGTGAAAGATAATACATTGACTTGAGAAGCAAAATGACAAATTATGAAGCCTTTTTTTTTAAATTTTTTTTAAAGAAGTGAATTTATGATTAAAACAAGAAAAATCACCTTAATTCAAAGGGAAACAAGATTTCATTCCTCATTGTCAGATATTTGTTGTTTTAAGCATAAACTCACTTCGTCTTGTTCAGTTTCTCAGAAAACAAGACTTCAATTAGCATCTCAAGTAAATGTATCTTGATGCAAGGATGTTTAGATATTTGTACTGCAAGACAAAAATACTGAGGAAGATATACATTTTTTCCGTGCATGCAACATTTAATGCCATGACGTCGTGAGTTTAAGACTTTTTGTACCTATTTAAGACATTTTAAAGCCTTAATTTGTGAAATCGTGAATTAAGACATTTTTAAGACCTGCAGAAACCGTGAAATATTATATTAAAACAGCAGAACACCGTATGAAAGGAAAAATCACAAATGCGATGCCTTTAATATTTCAACTGTTTACACAAGACAGTTCGATTAAATGAAGAGCAAATTGTTTTACTTGGAATAACATGTCGTGCACAGATGAATTGTTCACAATAAGGATAAAAACATCATCTGAGCCTAAAACTTTCCCCTGGGAGCTTAAAGAACAAGACAGGACAGAGGAGAGTGAAGAAGTGATCAGTGCTGTTTTGTAAGTGCACATGGCGAGTTGAGCTCATCCCGGACTTGTCAGAAAAGATCAAAACACAAACCTGCCCACCTGTGCGGATACGCCACGAACAGACAGAGCCTCAGCGGCCTGCTGCGATGTTTGTGATATAGACTCTGGCTGGCCTCATAATAAAGGTCAGAGAGGATTGTGGGTAACCTACAGCAGCTGCTGTCGCTGATGTTAATCCACACACAGGAGACGAGAGTCTGACAGCCATTAGAGCAGGAACGGGGAAGTAGAGCTCAGAAATGACAGTAAGTTAGTTTACTCAACTCCTGCAGTTGTCAAGCACAGGGAATAACGTGCAGCTAGTGTGAGGAGAGATGTCAACATATATGCATCGTAACCTCTCGCTCCCTGTGTAACCGTGAGGACAAATCAGCTCTGACTGACACGGAGGACTCATCACAAAACACCAGCAGCCACACAGCAGGTTTCAAGAGGTAGAACCATAACCATATATGGAATACTGTGCTTGATTGTGATTGGTCCATTGTAACACTGTCAAAAATATTTGCATAATAATACTAAACTAACACTGTGATCTACTACTTCTCATATACAGATTTGATCAAAAATACAGTGAAATCTGAAAAAAACATTGAAATATTATTATAATTTAAAATAACTGTTTGTGATTATGTAGTAAACTGTAATTTATTCCTGTGATGCGCAGCTGTATTTTCAGCATCATTCCTCCAGTCTTCAGTATCACATGATCTTCAGAAATCATTCTAATATACTGATCTGCTGCTTAAGAAACATTTCTGATTATTATCAATGTTGGAAACAGTCTTATTATTATATTTTACTTTCTTATTGTTTTATTATATTTATTATTTTATGTATTTATTTTTATTTTACTGCTTAGGTATATTTTTGGGAAAAAGTGACTTTTTCTGGATTTGTTGATTAATAGAGAAATCTAAAGAACAGCATTTATTTGAAATAGAAATATTTTGTAATATTATAAACATTGTTACTGTCACTAAATTATTTCTTTAAAGGGGTCATATGACGTTGCTAAAAAGAACATTATTTGGTGTATTTGGTGTAATGAAATGTGTTTATGCGGTTTAAGGTACAAAAAACACATTATTTTCCACATACTGTACATTATTGTTGCATCTAGCGGGGACATAATTACTGATTATAATTATCACCATACTGTGATGCCGTGTCCGGCCGGAGCAACGAGACAAAACCAGTAAAGCTCATTATAAACGAGGCATTTGTTGCATCTAGCGGGGACATAATTACTGATTATAATGACTTATACTGTCTTAAGCGTTGCATCGCGCCGCGTAAACATAAAACCATGTCTGCATTTGTGATCAGAGAAATGACAAAAAATTATTTCTTTAAAGGGGTCATATGACGTTGCTAAAAAGAACATTATTTGGTGTATTTGGTGTAATGAAATGTGTTTATGCGGTTTAAGGTACAAAAAACAAGTAAAGCTCCACATACTGTACATTATTGTTGCATCTAGCGGGGACATAATTACTGATTATAATTACTTATACTGTCTTAAGCGTTGCATCGCGCCGCGTAAACATAAAACCATGTCTGCATTTGTGATCAGAGAAATGACAAACAACAAGTGCTACTCTACACTGCCCAAAACTCGCGTTTGAATCGTCAGTGGCAAATTCTTTAAATATGACAACGTACTTACAGGCTGTGAGTCAGAACAGCCAACAACCAAGAGCTTGTAACACTCCAAAGAGAAAGGAAAAATTGAAATCGCATCATATGACCCCTTTAAAAGAAAATCTGACCCAGCTTGTAATACAACGTTTGAATGTGTAATAAAAAAGACACAAATTGTCTTTTTAAAAATAAGATATTAAATATAAAATGTAAATTTTAATTTTTAATCGCTATTACATTTGAAATATTATATTAAATATGTAAACACAATAATACTGTAGTGTATATATTATTTATTTATTTATTTTTGGTAGATGTGATAATATACATCCGCCACTCATTATACAATAACATCAAAATAAATCCTGACATCCACTGAGTATCCCTTGCATATCAATTTTTTACAGATGGAAACAATGGTCAATTATACTAAAACATTGGACTGTACAAATCCACAAATTGACTGATCAGGACATTATTAAGAACATATTCAAATAACATAAGAAGCTAACATGACACTTTTTCATATAACTGCAAGATATGAATAAGGTTTCACAACAGCATCAGGCCACCTTCTCAAATATTCACAGTGCAATTTAAAATATTCAACCCATCGGACTGTGGTTGTCAACATCTGAATGTATGTGTCAGTTAATAATTAATGAAGGCATTAGCTGCTCTCATTCATCACTGCACTGTGAACTTCTGATTTCAAGCCCTTCGGCTGAAGTGATACGCTCACGTTTCTGACCTGCAGACCGCCGGTCTCTCAGCACTAAACCCCCATTCACATGAGCTTTAAATAGCTTCACCTGACCACTGAAGTCTGAAAGCAAAGATAATAATTCAAACTGCTTTACATGCTGAATTGTTGCTTATGGCTTGAAAAATATGCAGCATTTATATCACAGCAGAATTACCATAAAGATCAGGATTCCTCTCAAAACTGATCTTCAGAGATAATTAAGCTGCTGCTATTTTAGTTGTTTTATATGACATGACAAGACAAACCAGTCAGCTTCTTTTCTCTAATACATGTTCCTGGTTTTAAAATGCATGTTTTAGAGAAAAATAAAATCAACTAAACAATTCCATAAAATCCTGACAGATCCCATCAGGGTTATTATCTTTAACTACAACTAAATCTAAATCTTAATAATTTAAATAAAGCTGAAATAAAATATCAATATAAACTCATACTTTGCATAAAAGTTGCGTTGACTTTCATAACCATTAAGCACATTTCAATATGTAAAAAA